TTCTCTCTATCCCTGGTGGATCGAGCTTTGAATACCCTTCTAAAACGATCGATAAGCACTGATGGAGAGAGGGGAATAAAGGGCGCACCGCTCTTCAAGTTCTCTCTATCCTTGGTAGCTCCAACATTGAATACCCTTTCGCAGATCGTATACGTGAGACATTCCATAGCTGCTCAAAACTACCACATATCTAGTAATCATACCTACCTTCTTCACTTAACGTCTGGCATTTAGGTATAGTAGATATCATAACTAGTCCAACTATAAGTAGAATGATACCGAGTAGAAAAACTAAGGCTACGATGATTGTGATGATGTATAATTTACGTGATCGATTTTTCTTCTGACTGTCTTCTCGCTGGAACGATACGTCTTTGTCGGGTAAGATGCTGCAACGRTATTAACAAGTTATACAAATGAATAGGTTTCAAAGCTGGTATCGTTAACAACAATAAGGAACGGTAAGGTCTCGTGACAGCGATCTTCCCTCCTTCATAAGCAAAGTTTATCAAAGCGGGAATATTTGAAATAGTTCATTTTTACTCAACCAGTAAATTGCAGTTAAATATATTTTTGTCTTTAAAATCTAAACTRAATAATCTAAAAAGCTTTTAAAAGTCACGACATGTTGTCACAATACTGTAGGAGAGAGCCTAGTCTAGTACTGAATAGAATACAAACACTATAAGTGTGCAACATAAATACCACTATACTAAATTATGCTAATCCTATTGTTTTCTATAGTTTAATTAGCACTATTTACTACTAAATAGTGCAAAGTGTTGCACACTTTTAGTGTTTGTACTCTAATAATAATAATAATAATAATAATAATGATGATGATGATGATGATGATGATGATGATGATGATAATAATAATAATACATGGTCTCAATACGCTTCACAATGATGACCAGTGGAGGACTTTACGGGCTGCGTATTTAGGCGCTAGTAGCAGCCGTGCAGCTTACAATCATGAGTGATTTGTTAGTAAGTTAGTATTAATGCCTCCAGATTGGGAAAGTAATAAGAAATGTTTTCAGAATATACTATAAGGCAGGCATTTTGTTTACTCTTATTAAACATCTTTAGATTGAACTACGCGGCATCAAAAAATCAGATCAAAGGCCGGTGCACATATGTAAGTCGTTAATAAACTAGTAGAGTGAAGGCATTTAACCCGTGAAATAAAAATTATTAGTCAACGTGTTTATATAGTCAAATAGACACAAAAGAAAACAATGGAATTAGGGTCTACTAATGTGTATTAGTCTAATATCTATTTCACGGGTTTAATGACTTCACTCTAACTGGGTCTTAACTGAAGATAACTTAACTTCGATTAAACTACCTCGTCTTCGAACCTAACAGCTTAATTGGAGAACCAAAGACGGATAATGTAAAAGAGCTTTTCTAGCAGTTAAGTAACAAAATCTTTGCAAAATGATAGACATGCTTGCGAATGTAATCACTGGGGCTTGGCCGACCAGCTTGCTTTTTCAAAGTATAATTGCTAAAGAGTTTACTCCGTTCATTAAAGTACATTTTTTAGTCTGAACTTGTAAAGAATGTTGGTACATACGTTTTATTATCTTAATTCATGATAATAAAGTAAAATGCAAAAAATTATTAAAATCCCAAAAGATTTTAAATGATTAATTTTATTTATTCAACATGTTAAYGAACATTAATTAATTAAGTCATGCTACGTTTTTTTCTTGTTTAGTATTCGAATTAAATCGTTGATTGTGAATCCGATTGTTCAAAAGAATTCTAAGTTTAGACTATCAATACCTCGATTTAGACGCTAGGGTTTCTGTCGGCAAGTTTAATCACAAACTTGGTGGAAATTTATTTTAGAAGCTGTTGACCCTTTGGCTCATTCGGGTGCTGAGATTTTATCTTCGATCATACGGATGGCAGAAGAATCATTAGAGAAAATAAAAATAAACTATCTACAAATTAAAAGATCCTTGGAATATAACGCAATGAGATTTGTTATTATTCCGTTTTTGTTTTCTTTCGAGCCTTTCATTTTTTTTTTTGGTCTTTTTTTTTTTGTACGGAGTTTATTAGATCGAGGCACTGCTGAAATCTAGAGACAGACAAACCAGACATGACTGAATGAATATTTCAATTAGCTATCTCTACGTACCTTACGCTGCCAGATAGTTCTGATTGAATCAAAGCTTCTCTGCTCARCCCGCTATCAAAAGTCTCACTCTCTTTCTCGAACTCGGAATCCTCAAGCTCTCTTAACGCCATTTCAACGATAGGATAGCACTTTATGGAGTAAATCTCTAGCCTGTCTACGTCTTGGCAGCAAATATTTAACTGAAGTTAATTTATTGCAGGCTGGAGGATCTAAGAGCAGATCTCTCTGATTTCTTTCTTTTTTATCGGTCCGAACTAACAGCTGGGCTGAATTATAAGCGCCAAGGAAGTGCTAGTTCCAAACTGACTTTTTTTTATCGACACAGACATAGGATATGTATAGGGCAGCGTCGAACTCTGTGAACGCTTGAATGAAACTTTCGCTTGATATTGCTCGAGGGTTGTACAGTCCAATCGCTTTGGAATATTTTAAGAATTAATCATTCGTGTATGGAAATCAGTCGAGCTTTGCGATCTTTACTCGTAGTACTTGCTGTGAAAATGAACTGCTTGTYAAGCCTTGATGGACCTCATAGAACGACGGCCACGACAAGATCCGATTTATTAAGTTAGAAGGCCTCCTTTCAGGGTCATGGCAAAATTCCATCCTAAATTCCTGGTTCGCATTAAAAAAAAAAAAAAAACTATTCACAAGCACTGTAAAATACGCCCAAACAAATTTACAATATGCAGAAGGAATTTTAAAGGCTCATAGCTTGTACTGTCGTGGCGAATAAATGCTTGGGCATGCTCTAGAGTCGTCTATTTTCTTCAAAAACTTCCTTAGTCTCGAATCTAAAATTAAAACACGCCTATGATTTCATTCGCGAGAGAATTTCAAAATTTGAAAAAAAAAGCTTGTCAAAGTAGTTGACATTGAATTTTTTAACCTGTCAGTTTAACCGTCTGACTCCTATTGTTTTTCTTCTCTTAGGGAATGTGGAATGTTTTCAAATAAAGACAGTTTATCCAAGACAGTTTATAAAGTCTTTGTAATCAGAAGCACGAACTTGAAAGCAATTTCATACTTCCGAGGATGGTCTAAGCTTGTAGATTAGAAGGTTAGGGGTGAACAAATAGGTTCAATCAAGATGGATGGGATTGTGCAGGAACGGTTTAAGAATATATCCGATGGCAGGAAGACCGAGGTAGAGTTGTAGGAAGACCGAGGTAGAGTTGTAGGATGCATGAGATATCTTATGTCCTCTATCGTTTTCTTATACTTTGCTTCTTTTGTTTTGTTTTGTTTTATTTATTTATCTATATCTTCTTTTCTCTTTTCTCCTGCTCTTTCTTTTTTCCATTTATTCACTTCTTCTCCTGCCTGTCTTTTTTCCTTCAATTTTTTTTCTATTTCCTTTCCTTCACTTTGATCTTCCTTTGCTTTTTGTCTTCAATTCTTTTTTAATTTTCTTGTCTTCACTTCTTCTTCCTTTCATTTTTTTCATCTAATCCTTTTCTACTTTCTTTTCTCGTCTCCTTCTTCCCTTTACTTCATTTGCTATGTTCTTCTGTCTTCAACGTTCGCTTCCTTTTTATTTTTTATTTTTACTGTTGAGATAAAGTCTACAAGGCTGTACAGCCAACTACTACCGAAATCATTCAACTTTTCTCGACTGTYAGTACCGCTAAAATAACGATCGATCKCGTTTTGAATTTCGGTTGAACTCACGTGACGATTTGTAGAGTTCCAATTGGCCATTTTACATTCAAATCATTAGAAAAAAGCGGGAAACTCCAAGATTAAGAGGATGTTAACTTAAGTTGTCTAGCGTAAAGGGGCGGAMACATGGTGCAACATTGCGTGCAATATTGCAGACAATGATTCTAAACTAGGATCTTGTTCTACTTTGTTTCAGCAACATTGCGCGTGACATCTTGTGACATAGTCTCCCCCACAGCCGCTTTCAGTGTCGTCACGCAACGCTTTCTCCCCTGAGTAGCACAACATTCCTTTCCTATGAATTAACCAATCACGGCTTAGTTCTCGAAAACCAGGAACCATTCGCGCCATATGGAAAACAAGATGCGTCGTTAGTAGTCTCCCCCACAGCCGCTTTCAGTGTCGTCACGCAACGCTTTCTCCCCTGAGTAGCGGCTGCTTACCCGAGCACAACATTCCTTTCCTATGAATTAACCAATCACGGCTTCGTTCTCGAAAACCAGGAACCATTCGCGCCATATGGAAAACAAGATGCGTCGTTAGTAGTCTCCCCCACAGCCGCTTTCAGTGTCATGGCTCGCACCATCAAAATTGAACAAAATGTTGCACCATGTATCCGTAGCTTAACACCACCTTAATGAAAGGTGCTTTCAAAAAAAACCCCAGAAAACAGATTTATTTTATTTCTTATTGTTCTGGATTCACTTTGAAATACCAAAACAACATTTTCAATTTTTTTGTTAAATAACAGACAGATATTTCAAGACGCGGCAAACTATCTAGTGATATGTCTTTGAGAAAGTCTTACTTTTGCTCAAACAACACTCAACTCAATAAAATCAAAGACAATCCTACTATAATAAGAAATTCTCTACATTATAGGCAAAGCTTTCTTAAACGATAATTTCAAATAGTAATTAAATAATTAAATGTTTTAAGAATGGAAAAMGCAAAGCACCCAACTCTTAAATGGCTTCCTCTCTGATTGACAAATCAGAACGAATATGCGCCCCATACTGGAATGCAGAAGTCATTTTAAGGAAAACAAATGGTTTCTTGCGCTCTTTAAGCAAAAAAAGAAAACATGAGCTTCCAGTCGTAGTGCTGGAATGTGGAAGCCATTCGAGGACAACGCTCAATTGGCTTCTGCTCTTAGCCAATCACAAACAAGGAAAATGTGCCTTCAAATAGACTTTTTTCGAGTTCCAAATTACCGCTGTGTTCCTTGATTGACAGACTCATTTACTCAGGTTAGCCTCATATCAGTGTCTAAATATTCATAAATACAAACGGGAAAGTAACGAACGCACAACTTCAACCATTTTGAAATTACRCAGACCTAGCTTCACTGAAACACATGAATATTGTGCACAAAATCAAGGCTAACCCTGAGCAACAGAGAACT